TAGCTAAGAAACTCAGTTTTAAATTTTAATTAATTTAAACTCAAAAACAAGCAGTGGGAAACTTCCTTATATTGATTACACATTGAAATAAAAATATTTTCAATGTCCTGGGTTAAATGAAGGTATTAATTTCTCCTTTGCTTTTACAAATGTAGCTACTGGAAAATTTAAAATTATATGTGGCTTTTATTTTTATCAGACAACTCTGGTTTGGAAAATAATTTCTGGCTGATTTCATCTTGCAGAGGGCAGTTTGCTCTCCCCCTCCGAGAGTACTGAAAAAAAGAAAAGCCATTCTTTTTTTCTTTTTGTACTTTATAATGCAAGCATATTGATTAAAAGGTCAAGGGGGAAAAGGTAAAGATGGAGTGTTCCAGACCTTTAATTACCTTTTCCCCCTTTTCATTGCATTTATTTGTATTCTTCATTTACCTATTACTGGTATTGCTTTGGGGTATTAGAGGATAAGTAGTGGTAAATCAGTACTGTAGTTGAGTGAAGACTTTGTACTATTAGTTTATAGTGTTGCTTATAGGGGAATACCACTATCACCTAATGAACTGCTTTCTAATTTTTTTTCACTGCTCTCAAACTAAATTGCTACTAAATTTTATTTTTGACTTGAGAACATTTTTATGAACTAGATCCATTGCCAGCATTCTCTTATGCAAAGCTGAGAGGTATGCCTCTTGTCAGACTTAATTACCAAGTTTGGTATTTTGTAACAGCTGTTGAGTGAGTCTGGAATAGTCTGCAGTACCATACAAACACCAGTTGATTAGAAAGATAGAAATGGAACAAGAAGATATTTACCAATATTAAATGAAGGTATGAGCAAATGTTATTTTTGGTACTGTAATAAAAAGTAAAACAGTTCTTGAAGTTTATTTCAAGGGGAATTGACCAACAATACCCACTACCAGTGGTAACTAGAAAATGATACCTGTCAGACTACTTTTAGCTCCATTGTTTCTATTTTTAAAATGAGTTATTTATTTTTTCCTTCCATAAATTTCGTAGATACAGAAAGATACCAGTAAGTCAAGTTTTAAGTAAGATAAGGAATTCTGCTTTTCAGCTCTTGTTTGTAGCTTTCTTACTTTGATTGCACAACACTGTTAAATTCATGCTTATTCTTAAGAAATGTGCAAAATTATAGCTGAAATTTTATTTGAATTATTGATCTGAACAAAAGAGCATTTTTTTGAATTACAGAAACAAGTAGGAGAAATATTTCTTAAATTTCTGTTGTAAAAAGTTACTTATGTAAACAAAAATAAAAAGATAGTGCTCACTTTTACAAAATGTGTTAAGTTTTGGAAACTGGCATTAGTACATTATTGTAAATTGATCTGAGAATAGGCTCTTAGATTTTTGTGTTTTGCATTATTTTAGTTAGTAAATAAAAATGACGAGATAAAATTAGTAAGCAGCAAAAAAGTAATCAGTGTTCCTCTTAACATGCTTTTAACTTACAAAGTAAGTTTATTTGACATTTTTATTTAGTTTTGAAATATCTTCCATTTATGTTTTTGATGCTCTCTGAACTATAGATGGAGCGTTCTAAAATCCAAAACTTTGAGCACTGATGTGACACTCAAAGGAAATGCTCATTAAAGCATTTTGGATTTTTAGATTTGGGATATTCAACTGGAAATATATAGTGCAGATACATTGTTTTTAAATTCGAAATCTGAAACACTTCTGGTCCTAAGCATTTTGGATAAGGCATGCCCAACCTATAGTAGTATAAGCTTCATGAGGCCGGAGATCTGTTCACACTTGTGTCAGGTTTATAGCACAGGGTCTGGGCACATGGTAAATGTCAGCAACCATTTGTCAGTTGTACATAGAGTATTAGATCTTCTGGCTGATAACTTCATAGGTAATTTATGCTTATTTTATGTTCTCATCCTAAATTTAAAGTATGAATGAGTAAATTTTCTAAGTACGTGTATGTATTTTACTCTAAAATATTTCTGAGATATATTATGTTGAATTTTAGGGGGGAAGGGGAAATTGAGGTCAGAAATATGTGCAAAAATTACCCCTTGAAGAAGAAACTTCCATTGACCTAACAATTTTAATAACACAAAATCATGGTTTTGAAAATGTGCCTCAAACTACCTAAGAATTCAGGGCACGTAATATGTAAGTAACTGTTAGGCAAATTTCATTTTGTTTATAAGCTGAAACATTAAACAATCTGGTAAAATTCTCTTGCTGTATTATTATTGAATACTTGAAGCTCTGATTTTAATATGGTAAAGTTTTAGGGTGTGTCTTAATATAATTACATAAGGAATTAGTTTACCCAGGATAGTTTATTAATAGCACCTAAGACAAGAGCTAAATTGCAACACAAGCAGACTTTAAAGAGAATGCTTGCTAGAATAAATTTTAAAAACTGGAGAATTTGCTTTTCAAGGTTTTTTTTCTTAGTGTATGTGAGTATTGTAGGGAGGCATTTTGAAAAAAATAATTGAGAATAATAATGTATGTTATACTTAATAATGCTAAGTTTTCTTAAAGTTGAACTACACAGGCTGATTGAATCCTTTGCTTCAGTGAAGCTGCAGATAAGAGTAAGCAGGGTCACCTAAAGATAGATTTACTTAGAGGTTTGGCTGCCTCTCTGGAACCATTTAGCTTTGAACAGATTTCCATAAATGGAAAGAGCAACTGGAGAGACCCAGTACCTTGTGGATGATGTGCAACAGGTGGTAAAACAGTCATTGGGTTTTTGAAATAAATGCTTTCCAAATGACTGTTGTTTAAGACTGAGGCTTTAGCATTTAGGGAACTTTGAGACTAACTGGATTTTTTTCCCCCAATTAAAAGTTTCCTAGAAACAGTTTTAAAAGATTCATATCGTTAGTGTGTAGTGCTTATGAATTTGTAATATGACTTTATGAAATTTGTATAAACATTTACTTTTAGTTCCTTTAGGGGATATCTTAGAAAAATCTGTCAAGTTAGAGACTCTTAAATATTCATGTTTCAGAACCTCTTACCAAGATAATTATTCAATATTTTAAGTCAGGGTGTGAAATTAATATATTATAAAGATAATAACATTTGTTCTTGAATTGCTGATTTTCCTGTAAGGTCAGTGGGTTGTCCTTAATTCAGTACATAAAAAGAAATATCTGCCTGGCGTGATGGCTCATGCCTGTAATCCCAGCACTTTGAGAGGCCGAGGCAGTTGTATCACCTGAGGCTAGTAGTTCGAAACCAGCCTGGCCAACATGGTGAAGCCCCGTCTCTACTAAAAATACAAAAATTAGCCGGGCGTGGTGGCATGTGCCTGTAATCCCTGCTACTCAGGAGGCTGAGGCAGGAGAATCTCTTGAACCTGAGAGGTGGAGGTTGCAGTGAGCCGAGATCATGCCACTGCACTCCAGCCTAGGCAACAGAACGAGGCTCCGTCTAAAAAAAAAAAAAATCTGCATGTCTGCTCCATGAAAAGTCTATGTTGGGAACCATGGCATATGTAAAGATTGGTTAAGCTAGCCCCCCAGACCTCAAGAAGTTTACAGTCTTACAGGAATGATAAGAAATTATCATATTCTTGCCCTATGAAACAGGAAATTGAAGTTTGATAGAGATTAAGTTGCTTACCTCAGGTAACAGAAATAAGTGGCAGAGACTGGAACCCAAGCTGTTGGACCTGAAAGCTCAAACCACTGCTGTACACATTGTTTACAAGTAACATAATCAGCAAAGCATAAAGGAAGTGTTAGAAGAAGAGAAATACAAAGGGTGGTAGAATTTGAAGGCTTCGTGGGAAGAATAAACTCTAAGAAAAAGTCTTAGGTTAAAACCCACTGAGGCTCTGAAGAGAGCAAGGTTAATTTTAAAGAAAGTTCCCAAGTACTCTGGCAGTAAATCTAATGCATGTTGTTATCCATCTTTAGGCAGCCGTGCCTGGAGAGTACAGTCGTCCCTCAGTATACCTGGGGTATTGGTTCCAGGATGCCTCCTCCACCTGGCAGATACTGAAATCCTAGAATGCTCAATCAAGTCCCTTATACAAAATGCTGTAGTATTTACATTGTATTTTTAATTGTTGAATTTTTTTTATTGCCTCTCCCTCCCCTGCAATATTTTCAATCTGAGGTTGGTTGAATCTGCTGATGTGGAACCCTTAGATATGGAGGGCTTACTCAGTCATTCAAGAGAGTCTGTAAGAATTGAATTAATTGATTAAATTAATTTATTGATTAAATTAAATTAACTTGGCGTGATACATCAAAATATGTAATTGCCCTCACAGGGTTGTTAATCTACAACCAGCCTCTCCCTGCCCCTTCCTCCCTTCCTACAAGTTAGTATTGGCCTAAAATTGATGCAGGGTTCAAATTTCAAGGATCTTTCTTTGTTTTCCTTTGAGTAAGATTCAGAAACTTCTCAGTAATTTCTTTTGTTACTGTTTTGAGACAGTCTCACTCTGTCGCCCAGGCTGGAGTGCAGTGGTGCGACCTCGACTCACTGCAACCTCTACCTCCTGGGTTCAAGCAATTCTCCAGCCTCAGCCTCTCGAGTAGCTGGGAATTAACAGGTGTGTGCCACCATGCTCAGCTAATTTTTGTATTTTTTGGTAGAGATGGGGTTTCACCATGTCGGTCAGGCTGGTCTTCAACTCCTGACCTCAGGTGATCTACCCTCCTTGGCCTCCCAGAGTGCTGGGATTACAGGCGTGAGCCACCGTACCTGGCCAACTTCTCAGTAATTTCTAATCAATGTCATTGGTAACTTTATAATCAACATTCATTTTATATCAGTATTCATTTTATAAAATGTAGATACTAGCTTTTAAAAAATTATTTCTGTAATTTATATAGACAAACAGATACCAATGGCTTAGAGTTACTCGTGTTATTTTATATTTATTTAGTTTTCATTTCTCTTTCAGGAGTGAATATGTTTATTTCTTAGTAATATGTTTTAGTCATATGTTTAGTGTATTTTTAATTGAGTAGAACTTATTTTTCCTCCAGTGGAAGCATCAGTTCATAGCAGTAATGCACACTGTACAGATAAGACAATTGAAGCTGCTGAAGCCCTGCTTCATATGGAATCTCCTACCTGCTTGAGGGATTCAAGAAGTCCTGGTATGTAAACTGTTCATTCTTATGTTAAACGTGTCATACTACTTCATATGTCTAAAATAAAGTTTTGTTTTTTTAATCCAAGGGGATTGTTGGGAATTCTCAAAGATACATTATACATGAATATATGACAGCAGTAATTGAACTTTATTTGTCAAGGCCTCCAAGTCTTAAATACTTAATTTTCCTAACAAATGATACAGAAAATACCCACTATAGGTAGACAAATATTTATTAAATAGCTATTTATACTGTAATGTCTATTTCCTTAACTCTGGACAAGTTATAAGCCTTCATAGTCCTTCAGAGTATGATAGATGGGAGCAGTTGCCTGTTAGGACCACTTTCAATCCTTTATTCAGTGATAAACAGGCAGTAACTCCGGAGAACCACATATGGTAGAGAGCGAAGGGAACTTTTGCCATATTTTTCACACATCTTTCAGATTGTGAGTTTTTATTTTTTTGTGGTCCCTCTTAGTCTTTAAGAACAAGCTTGATAGTCATTTTGTACAATTCTGATTTGTCCTAAATTTAATGCCCAAATGTTAATTTGACTTGATACAAAAAGACTAGCTCACCTTCTCGTTGGGATTTACAATAAGAGCAACCATACTTCTTAATTTGAATAGAATCCTGTGTATTACTCAGAGATATGAGAATAAATTTGCAGCATTTTTGGTCAATCTATTAATCTAAGATAGTATGTATTAAGTGTATCTCTTAATTGAAATAGAAATGTCTTATCTTGGTTATTTGTGCATATTCGAACGAAGCCAGGGCAACATTATTGCATGTGCTAGAATACCAGATAACAATCTGTACCTACTGTTTTGGTGACTAAAACATCAGGACTCTTATATTAAATAAAACTTTAAATACTGAAAGGTAATATTTCTTGTCTGTAATGAGCAAGTTTTCCTTTTCATATTCTAAAATGAAGTATAGGTGCTTGTGTTTTACTGAGTACATATTTACAAATCTTTGAAATTTTGAGCCACATATTACCTGTTAAAAAATAATGATGGCTAAGTGGATAGAAAGTAATTATTAACTAACTCACTATTATACTATTATTTTCAAATGCTTTCACAACTATTAGAATAATTTAGAATTTTTCTACATTGAGTTTGAAAGTATAAGTGTGAAAGAGTGGGGTGACTACTCATGGTCCTTGCTTTACCCAGAGAATTAACATTTTTCCTTTAAGTTGATTTTCCTTGCATTTATTTTCCTTGTATAGTTTAAATCATATTGAATATTCAGCAAATTAGCTCTTATCCTGCTTTGATTAATTCTTAATAAATCTCACCTCTTCTAAATATTGAACTATCCACATAAGAAACATTGATGGGGGTGGGAAATTTTAATTTTTCAACTTTTTTTTATAGTGGAAGTGTTTGTTCCTCCTTGTGTATCAACTCCAGAATTTATCCATGCTGCTATGAGGCCAGATGTCATTACAGAAACTGTAGTGGAGGTGTCAACTGAAGAGTCTGAACCAATGGATACCTCTCCTATTCCAACATCACCAGATAGCCATGAACCAATGAAAAAGAAAAAAGGTAGAGTATATTTATACATTTCTGAGAAGGCAGGTGAAAATTTTTTTCTTACCTTTTTCCTCATCAAGGGACATAGAAAATAGTATATGCTGTAGATTTAAGATTGATGTTATCTTAACTAGATATTCTCAAATAATCAACATTGAGATTTTAATTTAGTGTTTTAACATACTCATACTGTTTAAAGGAGATAGTATGTAAGGCTTGAGGATAATTGTGTGACAATGATATCTAACAGGTGTTCGACACACAGAAGACAGATCAGAGATTCCCTGCACCTTGTCTTACTCCATCTTCTCCTTGTTGATCCTTTTATGGGTACTTGGTTACTTAAAAAAAAAACCACACACACACACACACACACACACACCATTTTATTCTTTATTTTACAAAGTCTTGTCTTCTCTTGCTTTCATGGATATTTTTTAAAAAGCCAGGCACACCTTTAGTCCCAGCTGCTCAGGAGGTGAGAGGATTGCGTGAGCCCAGGAGTTTGAGGCCAACCTGGGCAACATAGCAAGACCCTATCTCAAAAAACCTAAATAAACAGTGAGAGAGATATATATATGTATGTCATACTGTATATATTATATATCACTTATATGCTAGATACAATATATGATACATAGTGTGATTTATATACTATATATTATATATCATTTATTATATATCATGCTGTTTTTACCTTATACCTTCTGCTTTGAAGCACTAAGAATGCTGATAGAGACTTCTGATTAGCATAAACTCACCAGTGGGTAAAGAGCATTTCCACTTACTATTTGACTCCTGCTGAAATTTCTGCTCCCCTCATCCCAATAGCACATTTTCAACATCATGAGGACATGGGCAGTGAGTCTTTTTCTGTTGAAATCAAGGGTAAAATTGGAAAGAAATGACATTCTGAGTAATTGAGTACTCACCTAATTCTCCTTTCTTCTCTAACTCTTCACATTTTAGAGTAAAATAAAGGTAAAAATAAAGGTGCATTTGAAATAATGGTATTTCCTTTTATTCATTAAATATAGTGTTTCAGATTGCCACAGTGTGTACCATTCTGTGGTCATTATTGTAAGGGAGATGAGAATAAGACAGTGTCTTCCCACTTGCAATACATATAGATTATATGCATCTCGAGAGAGGTATACATGAGAGAATTTAGGAGGAAGAATTACTTCCTGATGTAATCATTTAAAAACAAAAGGCATACATATAAATAGCCTTATTTACCCACTGCCTGCTATAGCACTTGGCTGGTTGCATCCAATGAGAGCTGTCACAAAATACTTAAGAAATGTTTGTTTAGATTTAATGCTGGGCACGATGGCTCATGCCTGTAATCCCAGCACTTTGGGGGTCTCAGGTGGGCAGATCACTTGAGGTCAGGAGTTCATGACCAGCCTGGTCAACATGATGAAACCCTGTCTCTACTAAAAATGCAAAAATTAGCCGGCTGTGGTGTTACATGCCTATAGTCCTAGCTATTCGGGAGGCTGAGGCAGAAGAATCGCTTAAACCCGAGAGGTGGAGGTTGTAGTGAGCTGAGATTGCACCAGTGCACTGCAGCCTGGGTGACAGAGTAAGACTCTGTTTCAAAAAAAAAAAAAAAAAAAAACCCACACACATTTAAAGGAAGATGGAAAAGACCATGAAAAACGGGCCATGTTGGGAGCCAGGATATATGATATTCTATAAACCAGGAAATACTTTGCCAATTTAATAACAATTTTATTTATTTCTGTGAAAGCTCTTAATGACCATTTAAAAATTACAAGCCTGGGTGTGGTGGCTCACGCCTGTAATTCCAGCACTTTGGGAGGCTGAGGCAGGAGGATTGTTTGAGCTCAGGAGTTTAAGACCAGCCTGAGCAACATAGTGAGACTTCATCTCGAGGAATTAAAAAAAATTAGCCAGGTATGGTGGCACATGCTTGTAGTCCTAGCTACTCGGGAGGCTGAGGCAGGAGGATCGCTTAAGCCTGGGAGGCTACAGTGAGCCATAATCGTGCCACTGCATTCCAGCCTGGGTGACAGAGTGAGACCCTGTCTCAAAGAAAAAAAAAAATACATGTAACCATTCTGTCTGTACTTATTACCGTAAGGGAGACAATGAAGAGTAAGAGCATCATTATTTATATTTTTGTGGTTAAGTACATTTGGGATATGCAAACTTAGATAGGTTATTTTTTAATAGCAGTCCCTCTTTTTATTTTGAGATCCTTTAATATACTAATGTACATTGTGGATCTTGCTATCTTCCAAGAGAAGATAGCGTATGGTGTTCTAAAAGTTAATATGAATATAGAACCCATTTTCCTACGGAGGTAATTTATTAAGGAACATGACTTTGGACGTGCAGCTTTATGAGAAAATAAATTAAACCTTTTTGCACTAACTTTACTAAATTGGGCTTTTGTGCTAGAATTTAGGAGATGCTGAAGATATTAGTTTTATTACTGTCTGATTCATATGTATAAATATTATTTAAATTGAGTAATTAAGCTGTATTCTAACAGAGACCAGTGAACTTTCTGTTTTATTTTTTGTTGCAAACAGACTTCTTGATTAGAATTACCAGAATTCTAAAGTATATCTGTGCATTTTGAAATACAGATGTTCAGATGCTTTAACTAGTTCTTTATATAATTAATTATATAGATTAATATAATTAATTTAATGTTTCCTATTGAAGAATAGAGTGACATCAGAAATCTCAGATGTAGAACAATCACCAAATCAGTAATAATATATTTGATCGTGTCTGTAATCCAGCACTTTGGCAGGCTGAGGCGGGCAGATTGCCTGAGCTCAGGAGTTCAAGATCAGCCTGGGCAAACATGGTAAAACCCGTCTCTACAAAAAATATAAAAATTAGCCGGGCGTGGTGGTGCATGACTTAGTCCCAGCTACTTAGGGGGCTGAGGCGGGAGGATTGCTTGAACCCAGGCTGTAGTGAGCCATGTTCGCACCACTGCTCTCCAGTCTGGGTGACAGAGTGAGACTCCATCTCTTAAAAAAAAAAGTGTGTGTGTGTATATATATATATATTTGATTTTAAAATACAGCATACTTACGTATTTCCAGTTTATTTCTTGAGTCTGCCTCTCACCTGCCAGTGTTCATCCATCTGTACTCAGGATTGAATGTAGCTCATTCAGGCTTAATCCTCTTTTGTGTAGAAAAGTATATAGCCCTTATTTTTTCTATTCATTGTGGATGCTAGTCTATCTGAGAGAGCCTTATGGCAAAAATGAGGAGGAACAAAAGGGAAGGACACAAACCTTTATTAGACATAAAAAGCACTTGGAAGTGTTTTTACCCTTGTAATGTATCTGCATGTGGAAGTGGGGAAATTGAAACACTTATGCTTACATTCTGGTGAATTAACTGATCCAGAGCAGTAGAGAGTGTTTGTTGTTTTTTACTTTTCCTCATTTGAGTTCAAAGAGCTTTGCAAATTATCAGATCTTCTGCAATAAGTTGCTAAAGCTGTTTCTCCCAATCCTATAGAACAGAAAACAAATTAAGTTTTTACTAGGATTTGTTTCTATTGCTACACTAATATAAAAGGTTGGCAAGGCCATGTACGGTGGCTCATGCCTGTAATTCTAGCACTTTGGGAAGCCAGGGCGGACGGATCACGACGTCAGGAGATCGAGACCATCTGGCTAATATGGTGAAACCCTGTCTCTACTAAAAATACAAAAAATTGGCTGGGTGTGGTAGCAGGCGCCTGTAGTCCCAGCTACTTGGGAGACTGAGGCAGGAGAATTGCTTGAACCTGGGAGGCAGAGGTTGCAGTGAGCCGAGATCGTGCCACTGCACTCCAGCCTGGGTGACAGAGCAAGACTCCATCTCAAAAAAAAAAGGAAAAAAAAAAAAGATTGGCAAATCAAGGCTCTGACCAATGTATATGGCAATCGAGGCTGTGCCAATGTGTATGACAGAGATTACTACTCACTGCTGTAATCTAAAATACAGAACTGTTTTTAGTACTCCTTTTAGAAGCAGCTTTTCATACAGAGTATATTTATCTACAAATTAGTGTCCATTTAAATGAATAATGTGTAATCAGAAAGTCTGCTAATCATGCCTCTCATATTTTTCTTGTTTTCAACATATGGTTTCAATATCTTATTTTTTCAGTTGGCCGTAAACCAAAGACCCAGCAATCACCAATTTCCAATGGGTCTCCTGAGTTAGGTATAAAGAAGAAACCGAGAGAAGGAAAAGGTAATGTGGGGAGGGTTGCTTTGGAAGTGAGATGATTTTTTTTCAGTTAGGTGACATTTTTGCATTTGTAAGAAAATTATTTCTAGTACATGCACATATGAGAATACTGTCGTTGGTAATAGTTCTTAATAAGGGATGTATCAGCATCATGGGGGGAGCTTTTTCAAAATACCTTTGCCTAGTTCCTACACCACAGAGATTGTGTAGCCATAGTTATATCATGGGGGATATAGGGACTTTTGGAAAAGTCCTAAAGAAGTCTGATACATATTCTCCTTAACCATTGACTTAGGGGATATGTGTATGTATAATAGCACCCATTCTCATATATAGGTACCCGTAATTCCAAGGGGTTTACAACTAAGCCTTGTTTCTAATAGATAATTTCTTTCTTTTACTATTTTTGTGAGACAGTGTCTTGCTGTGTTGCCCAGGCTGGTGTGTGGTGGTGTGAACATGGCTTACTGCAGCCTTGACCTCTTGGGCTTAAGCAATCTTCCTGCCTCGCCTTCTGAGTTGCTGGGACCACAGGCGCATGCCACTCTCCCTGGCTAATTTTTTTTTTATTTTTAATTTTTTTTAGTTTTTTGTAGAGATGAGGTCTTACTATGTCACCCAGGCAGGTCTTAAACTCCTAGGCTCAAGTGATCCTTCCGCCTCAGCCTCTGAAAGTGCTGGGACTACAGGCATGAGCCACCGCACCTAGCCTGATACATAACTTCTTTTTTTTTTTTTTTTTTTTTTTGGTGAGACGGAGTCTCTCTCTGTCGTCCAGGGTGGAGTGCAATGGCCGGATCTCAACTCACTGGAAGCTCCGCCTCCCGGGTTCACGCCGTTCTCCTGCCTCAGCCTCCTACAGGCGCCCGCCACCACGCCCAGCTAGTTTTTTGTATTTTTTTAGTAGAGACGGGGTTTCACCGTGTTAGCCAGGATGGTCTCGATCTCCTGACCTCGTGATCCGCCCATCTCGGCCTCCCAAAGTGCTGGGATTACAGGCTTGAGCCACCACGCCCGGCCCTCATAACTTCTTAACTGTTTAGAAGCAATGCAAGAATTCAAGGCGAGCTAAATTTTAATTTTCCAGTCAACAAATTTCAGTCACATCAGTTACAATTCAGAACAAAACCATGCTTATTTGCTTCTTTATTGACTGACTTTTACAGACAGGGCTGGAATGCAGTGGCGTGACGGTAGCTCACTGCAGCCTTGTACTACTCTGCTTATAGCCTCCCAAGTAGCTGGGACTACATGCACACACCACCGCACCCAGCTAATTTTTTTTGTTTGTTTTTTTAAGAGATGGGGTCTCATGCTTTGTTGCCCAGGCAGGTCTCGAACTCCTGGCTTCAAGAGATCCTCCAGCCTCACACTCCCAGAGTGCTGAGATTATAAGCATGAGCCACTGCCCCTTGTCTATTTTTGCTTTAGAATTTGTGTATCCTGATTAAAGATAAAAACAGCACCAAATCTCCCCCATTCTGTGCTTTCTTAATTTGTCGAATAAGATGATTTCAAGTGACATTTCTTTTTAATATTATTTTTATTACTTTTTTATTACCTTTTTTAAAATTTTGTTTTAAAATCTTCTGTAGAAACAGGATGTCCCTATTTTGCCCTGGCCTCAAGCGATCCTCCCATATTGGCCTCCCAAAATGTTGGGATTATAGGCATGAGCCACCACACCTGGCCTTTAATTTTATTGTCACTCAGATTCTGACAGATAAAGTGTCATTTCAGTAGTGGTTTTAGATGTGTTCTGTCTGCCAGTCTGATAACCAAAAATTTATCACTTTCATGAATAAGTGTTTTCAGACCAATATTCAATAGTTGGATAAATTTTACATTAATGTATTTAAATTTATTCTGTCCTTATCAGGTGGTTTGACTTAATAATTTTAAATAATTAAAACAGAAATTAAGTCTAGTTAAAAAAAATTGTCTCCAGTAAGCCTTCCAAGAAATTTGGTATTTCGATAGGCCAAAAAAAACCAAAAAAGTGACATTGAACACTTATTCAGGAACTGGTGACCCAGTTTGGGGGAGGCTTAGGATACTTTTCTTACCTCCTTGTTTGTCTTTGGTTGTTGTACACTTCTAACATCTTAGGTTTCCTCTTTTAATTTATATTGAAAACTTTAAAAGTTAACATAGCAGTAAATATTAGAAAACTAAACTATAAATATACAGTTATTACTATTGTCTTTTAAATAATTCTTATCCTCAGTGGTATCACTTATACTCGAACATCTTTTGCTTAAGACTGGAGAAAAAGTCTGTGACCAGTTTTTACCAATTTAAATCATATCTCGTTACAATTTCAGTCTTGTATTAAATTTGAGGCAGTGTGTTATAATGTAATTAATTAAAGCTATTACAGTCAAACCTATATTCAAAATCCAGCCAGTGTTTTTTCTTTTGTAAAATTATGATAATAATGTTTGTCATAGGCAAATTCCTTGTTACCTGGTAAAGAAAGCTTCTCTTTCTGAATCCTGTTTTCCCTAAAATCAGAAATAGAATTTTTAATAATTTTTTTCTTTAGAGATAGGGTCTCACTCTTGTCACCCAGGCTGGAATACAGTGACATGATCATGACTCACTGCAGCCTCAACCTCCCAGGCTCAAGTATTCTTCTGCCTCAGCCTCAAGTAACTAGGACCACAGGCACATACCACCATGTCTGGCTAATTTTAAAATTTTTTGTAGAGACGGGTCCCCCTATGTTGCCTAGGCTATTCTCATACTCCTAGGCTCAAGTGATCCTTCAGCCTTGGCCTCCTTAGAATTGTTCATTTTAACTTGGGGATGGCAACGTGGGTGCAGTGAGTATTTAAAGATAATCTGAGGGGTTTTGATGAGTTTAATTCAAAACATGGAAACATTCAGATATCTTATGTGCAAGGCATTGTCTATATTATACAAAAATTTCTTCCAGATAAAATCTTTACTCACACTTACTACTATGTGAACAAAATAAAAATGCCCCAGCTACACATTTTTATGTAACTGATGATTATACATGGTTTATTTTAATAGTTTTTAAGGTAGTGATGCTGATGTAATAGAATCCTAGAGATACAAATGTAACATTGTGAAGTTGAAAGTCAGCTTTTTTTTTTTTTTGAGATGGATTTTAGCTCTTGTTGCCCAGCCTGGAGTGCAATGGCGCGATCTCAGTTCACCGCAACCTCTGCCTCCTGGGGTCAAGCGATTCTGCTGCCTCAGCCTCCCGAGTAGCTGGGATTACAGGCATATGGCACCACACCTGGCTAATTTTTATATTTTTAGTAGAGATGGGGTTTCTCCATGTTGGTCAGGCTGGTCTCAAACTCCTGACCTCAGGTGATCCGCCCACCTTGGCCTCCCAAAGTGCTGGATTACAAGTGAGAGCCACCACGCCTGGCCGAAGGTCAGCTTTTTTAGGTCAACAGATGCATAATGGGCTCAACTCTGCGTTATTAATGAATTTACTGGATTTTCAGGGAAAGCCACAGTGAAAGTGAAATGCCAGAGAAAAAACATCAGTATTTTGATTGAAGGTGTTGGGGTAGTGGTGGCCGTTTCGGGACTCTTTTCTCTTCTTCTTTTTTTCTTGAGATGGAGTCTCGTTCTGTTGCTCAGGCTGGAGTGCAGTGGCGTGATCTTTGCTCACTGCAACATCCGCCTGCCGGGTTCAAGTGATTCTCCTGCCTTTGCCTCGCAAGTAGCTGGGATTACAGGCACCTGCCATCATGTCTGGCTAATTTTTGTATTTTTGTAGAGATAGAGTTTCACCATGTTGGCCAGGCTGGTCATGAACTCCTGACCTCAGGTGATCTGCCCACCTTGACCTCCCAAAGTGCTGGGATTACAGGCGTGAGCCACCATGCCCAGCCTTCTGTTCTTCTATTAATAAGAACTTGGCATCTAGAGGTTATGAAGGGAATAAAATAAAAACAACCTGAAAAGCCTCTTCTCATGACTGCTGCCCACTACTCTCCCCTCCTTAATAAGGGAAAAAAGAGTGTGATACTTTCTTCCTTTTGGGATTAATTTTTTTATTTTACTTACCCAGATTCCTTTTCGTTCTTTTATGCACATCCTAGCCATCTTCCAAGACTTCATGATGGCCTCTCAGTCCACTTTATTTTCACTCCTAGAATCCCACAGACATTATTTTCTATGATTACTTGGGATATAGTTAATTATGCATTGCTTTGTGATAGACCTTATATTGTTTCAAATTGTTATTTATTTCTTGCATTGTTGTTTAACTTGTCATCTACTTTCTTTTCCCTTCTCAACTAAATTATAAATTCCTTGAGGCAGGGACCAGGTTTTAAATTCATCTCCTTAAGCATGATATGTGATGAATAAGCATTTTGTTCTGCAGAAATATTCTAATATTTCCTCATTTTAAAATTTTTCTAGCAGTGTGATCCAGAGCTAATGTTATAGTTAACATTTGATGAATACTTGACTAGTTTTAAGGAATTACCGTATTTTTCCATTTTAGGACCTCAGATTTTAAGATATAAGTATAGACAATGAAATCCTTTAAATATTATCTTCCGTCTACTGGGTGTAATCAGTAGAAAGTGATTAGAAATTTTTTTTTTAATCTGTTTTTAGAGGCAGTAATGTTCTTTTTTTTTTTTCTTTTTCCTGAGACAGTTTCACTCTGTCATCCAGGCTGGAGTACAGTAGTGCGATCTCAGCTCACTGTAACCTCTGCTTCCTGGGTTCAAGCGATTCTCATGCCTCAGCCTCCCAAGTAACTGGGATTACAGGTGCACGCCACCATGCTCAGCTAATTTTTATACTTTTAATAGAGATGGGGTTTCACCATGTTAGCCAGGCTGGTCTCAAACTCCTGACCTCAGGTGATACGCCCGCCTCCCAGCCTCCCAAAGTGCTGGGATTACAGGCGTGAGCCACCACATCCAGCCAACAGTAAAGTTCTTTGCTATCAAGTCTTAATTGACTGGTAGTACAGAGGAAAATGATAAGAAAATGCTTAAAGGGTTGAGGGTAGTTTGCACTTATAATATATATACCTCAGAGTTCATGCCTGTAGGTGAATCAAAGAAAAGTAAGTTTCTTACAAAAAGATCCTAGGTCTGGTGCCTAAAAGTTTTACACATTTCATTGCATTTTGCTTGCCTATCCAACAAAATTACTAAGTACCTTTTGATGAATTTTGATCATGGAATTTAGGCTTATATGATAAACAAAGGTGTAAACAAATTTATTTTATTCAGAGTTTAAATCTGTATAAACTAATAAACTTGATTCTGTTTAATTCAGGTTAACTTTGCCTAAGCAATTATGCCTTTGCCTTTACTGAACTCAAAATCTAGGATAGGGTGATATGTAATGTACAAACGCCAGAATCTGTATTTTAGCATCGTAACTGTAAGCATACGTAGGAGATACCATTTTTTAAAAGTAGAAACAGGCTGGACGCAGTGGCTCATACCTGTAATCCCAGAATTTGGGGAGCCTAGGCGGGTGGATCACCTGAGGTCAGGAGTTCAAGACCAGCCTGGCAAACATGGTGAAACCCTGTCTCTACTAAAAATACAAAAATTAGCCCGGTGTGGTGGAATGTGTCTGTAATCCGAGCTGCTCGGGAGGCTGAGGCAGGAGAATTGCTTGAACCTGGGAGGTCGAGGTTGCAGCGAGCCGACGTTGTGCCACTGCACTCCAGCCTAGATGACAGAGCAAGTCTCCGTCTCCGAAAAAAAAAAATGTAGAAACAAGTATATTCAGGATTTTTAAGTTACGATGAAGGACACTTTATTTGCTTTTAATTATGTATTTAATTATGTTAATGAATTTGTAATCAATGTCTGTCATTGTTTTTAAAGGAAACACAACCTATTTGTGGGAGTTTCTTTTAGATCTACTTCAAGATAAAAATACTTGTCCCAGGTATATTAAATGGACTCAGAGAGAAAAAGGCATATTCAAGCTGGTGGATTCAAAGGCTGTCTCTAAGCTTTGGGGAAAGCATAAGAACAAACCAGACATGAACTATGAAACCATGGGACGAGCTTTGAGGTAAAAATGCAAATGAGCTAATATTCACACAAAATGTATGTATTTCTTTATATTGTCTATTAGCTGTTTAAAGAGAAGCTGAAAATCCTTTACAACTTTTAACTTTGGGGGATATTCTAGAGGAGCATCTTAGATTTGGAAGTAGATGGGGAGATAGGAGTTTAGTCTACATGCTTATAATTTTAACATAATTGGAAAATTCATTTTTGCAGAAAATGTGCTTTTGTACTTAGGACTATTTCTTAATAGAAATTGTGAAGTTGTAGGCTTAAAAAAAATTAAGCCTAAACAAATTATGGTTCCTAAAGTTAATTTGTATTTTAGTTTTTAGGAGTTTGTCATAAATGGATTTATGTTGATAGGAAAATTTAAGTTTTATCAGTTTAGCCGGGCATGGTGGCTCATGCCTATAATCCCAGCACTTTGGGAGGCTGAGGCGGGCGGATCACCTGAGGTCAGGAATTCAAGACCAGCCTGGCCAACGTGGGGAAACCCCATCTCTACTAAAAATACAAAAATTAGTCGGGTGTGGTGGTGCTCACCTGTAATCCCAGCTATTCAGGAGGCTGAGGTAAGAGAATCGCTTGAACCCAGGAAGCAGAGGTTGCAGTGAGCCAAGATAGTGCCATTGCACTCCAGCCTGGGCGACAGAACGAGACTCCGTCTCAAAAAAAAAAAAAAAAAAGAATTATCAGTTTGATAAACCCACAAAATTCTTTCATTGGAAAGTACATGGCTTCTTCTAATTAAAGGTGTTTTTAAGTGAACACATGGTTTATGTGACAGTATTCGCAAATCTCTACTAAGTTTAAGTGTGGCTTAGATAATTTTTCCAGTAATATCAGTTTGTTTTTATAAGCTATGTAAATCAGAAAAGAATTTCTACCAGTGTCAGTATAGTAAAATACTCAATAGTAAGGTAAATTATTTCTTTTAAGAAAATGAATGAACTTTTAGCTACTTTATAGATCTTAAGTTTGTAGGACCTTGGCGCCAGGTTCCAACCTGATTCCTACTCTAAATTTGTAACCTTTTGAGCAGTCTAGGCAGTAAGAGTTTGTTTTTTTCTCATCTGTTATTAGGGATAAGGGAATGTTTCTATTAGTATGCACTGTACATAGTGTTTTTGGTGGGGGTAGAGTGGGGTGGAGAAATAATATACTTGATTCATTTGGTACATTTTCCCCTTACAGATACTACTACCAAAGGGGAATTCTTGCAAAGGTTGAAGGACAGAGGCTTGTATATCAGTTCAAGGATATGCCCAAAAACATAGTGGTCATAGATGATGACAAAAGTGAAACCTGTAATGAAGATTTAGCAGGAGCTACTGATGAAAAATCATTAGAACGAGTGTCACTATCTGCAGAAAGTCTCCTGAAAGCAGCATCGTCTGTTCGCAGTGGAAAAAATTCATCCCCTATAAACTGCTCCAGAGCAGAGAAGGGTGTCGCTAGAGTTGTGAATATCACTTCCCCTGGGCACGATGCTTCATCCAGGTCTCCTACTACCAATGCATCTGTGTCAGCAACAGCAGCTCCAAGGTAAGTGAGGCAAACCATTAGTTATAATGTATTTACTTTTTTAAAAAGTCCCCTTGGTGAAAGCGAAATGTCCCTTTGCTTAATATTAGTGTTCTAAGAACCCAGTGTTGTCAGGACTTTGAAAAGTGCTTGATATTTTAATTATATTTTTTATTGTTGTTAAAGTAGATGTCTTGCTGGGTTCAGTGGCTCACGCCTATAATCCTAGCACTTTGGGAGGCCAAGGCAGGAGGATTGCTTGAGGACAGGAGGTCAACACAAGCTTTGGCAACATAGACCTCCTCTCTATAAAATAAAAATAAAAAATTGCTGAGCATGGTGTCACATACCTGTAGTCCTAACTACTCAGGAAACTAAGGCAGAAGAATCACTTGAGCTTAGGATTTGGAGGTTGTAGTAAGCTAAGATTGCACTGCTGTACTCCAGCCTAGGCAGCAGACCGAGACCTTATCTCAAACAACAACAACAACAACAAAAAAAGTAGATGTCTTAAATTACCTGAATTGGTTTTTATGGTTTTATAGATGGAGCTTAATGTAGGCTTTAGTTTTTAAAATATATTTGTGTCATGGTATGTTTGTGTCAGACATCAGGAATTGCCAGTATCTCTGTAAAATTTGGGAGCACTAGTTTTACACATTTTGGATTTGTATTCATCTTTTACTCAGGAGACCTATTTTCTCATTTGGCATTAAATATAATCAGCTTTTTTCTTTCTAATGTACTAGGACAGTTCGTGTGGCAATGCAGGTACCTGTTGTAATGACATCATTGGGTCAGAAAATTTCAACTGTGGCAGTTCAGTCAGTTAATGCAGGTGCACCATTAATAACCAGCACTAGTCCAACAACAGCGACCTCTCCAAAGGTAGTCATTCAGACAATCCCTACTGTGATGCCAGCTTCTACTGAAAATGGAGACAAAATCACCATGCAGCCTGCCAAAATTATTACCATCCCAGCTACACAGCTTGCACAGTGTCAACTGCAGACAAAGTCAAATCTGACTGGATCAGGAAGCATTAACATTGTTGGAACCCCATTGGCTGTGAGAGCACTTACCCCTGTTTCAATAGCTCATGGTACACCTGTAATGAGACTATCAATGCCTACTCAGCAGGCATCTGGCCAGACTCCTCCTCGAGTTATCAGTGCAGTCATAAAGGGGCCAGAGGTTAAATCGGAAGCAGTGGCAAAAAAGCAAGAACATGATGTGAAAACTTTGCAGCTAGTAGAAGAAAAACCGGCAGATGGAAATAAGACAGTGACCCACGTAGTGGTTGTCAGTGCGCCTTCAGCTATTGCCCTTCCTGTAACTATGAAAACAGAAGGACTAGTGACATGTGAGAAATAAAATAGCAGCTCCACCGTGGACTTCAGGCTGTTAGTGGCAGTACTGACATAAACATTTGCAAGGGAAGTCATCAAGAAAAGTCAAAGAAGACTTTAAAACATTTTTAATGCATATACGAAAACAATCAGACTTACTGGAAATAAATTACCTATCCCATGTTTCAGTGGGAAATGAACTACATATTGAGATGCTGACAGAAAACTGCCTCTTACAGTAGGAAACAACTGAACCCATCAATAAGAAAAAGGATTGAAAGGGACCAAGCAGCTCACTACGATATCAAGTTACACTAAGACTTGGAACACTAACATTCTGTAAGAGGTTATATAGTTTTCAGTGGGAGGGGTTGGGATGGGTGATCTTATTGTTACATATAGCAATTTTTGATGCATTTTATATGCATACCAGCAATTATTACTGTGTTCGCACAGTTCTCACTTAACTGGTGCTATGTGAAGACTCTGCTAATATAGGTATTTTAGAATGTGAATTGAAGAATGGATCCCAAAAACTTCAGAAAGAGGATAGCAAAAAAAGATCTAGTGCGATTTTTTATATATATATATATATACACACACACATATATATATATCATATAGCTTAAGCTGATTTAAAACAAAGGCCTTAGACTAATTTTCGGTTTTCTTTCTTGAAATAAGCTAATGGCTTGTTTGTGTAAAGCTTTTTTATTAAAAGAAAAATTTTAAAAATCTTGTACCTAGCACAGTATTGTTATAGAATTTACATGTAACATTTTATATGGTAGTTTAAGTCTGTCAGTTTCTTAATTGTGGACAGATTAACAGTTGGCTCTGGCCTTTTGCTGTAACATGCCTGTGTCACTCAGCCCTGGCATTTGTGCAGACATATCATTTTCAGTTCTGCTGTCACTTGGAAGTTCAGGCTCAGCATGAATTTTTGTCAGGTAGCTCTAATACCTGGAGTTTTCTTTCTTTCTTTCTTTTTTTTTCAGTTGAAGTTTATGAGGGAAATACCAGTGTTCAGATTTGAACTATAATAGTTTGTATATTCAACATTTGAAGTATATTCTATTTTGTTGTACTCTTGTTTCAAAGTGTATTCAAGTAGGTTTTCTGAAATATAGAAATGAAATTTATCTTCTGTTTTGGTCTCTGGTGATATTTTTAACAATATTTAAAAGCCAGCATAGACATGTTTTAGTTAAGAAGTGATAAAATATCTCTATTTCTCCTTCCCAACTACTGCATGAAGAAATTCTACTTGTTTTGTTCCATTATATTAATATTTGGCAAATACCTGCATGTTGCCAGTTTCTTTCTAGTTGTAATGATGAACTATAATGTTCTGCTTAACATAATGAATTTAGTATTTTAGTTGTCTGCACATAAAGAATTTATATTTATAAAACACTTCAAACCATTTGTTTCACAATCAGACCTTTTGTGGATAAAAAGAACAATTACTCTTCTAGCCCTTTTACAGATTAGGAAGTTAAGGTATCTGAAGGATTATATAAACTATGTAATTTCACTACTGTCTGTCACTACATATCTTAATGCTCTTTTCTACTACAAAGAAAAGGTATCTATTTTTACATCTTTTAGAAATTTAGATGAAATCATACTTAACATTTTTTGTCTTTTATTTGTGCATTTGATCACATACTACTTAGGTCAGAGATTGTTTATAACAATTCCCTTTGTAATCTGTTAAACTTTTCCATAAATGTGTTGATGATACTTTTATACAAAAGCTCAAAGAAAAACTCACTTGATTCTTTTCCCATTTGGGAGTTACTCTCAAATTCTACCTCCTTTTAAAACATTTCCAAAATATTTCAGGTTTGAAAATTGATATTAAGTGCTTTGGCACTCAAGTGTATTATCTTGTTTATTGCACTGTGACTTCATTTGTTTAGTCATGTCTTCCGTAATGGTCATTTAGAGCAACAATTATTTTATGCTATACCTACGCCTCTCCCCAAGTGCTAAGCATATTAGACACTCGGGTCAGACATTTATTGATTTTGGGAACATTTGCTGAGAATATAAGTCACATGCTTAAAAACTTTCCTTCTATGCTGGATTCTTAATCGGTTCTAACAGGGTTAAACCAGGGCTATCTAGCTACCTCTGCTACTCTACTGGAAATTTTTTTCTCTTTGATAATCACATCTAAAGTCTAGACCTGGGGCCAGGTGCAGTGGCTCACGCCTGTAATCCCAGCACTTTGGGAGCTGAGGCGGGTGGATTGCTTGAGGCCAAGAGTTTGAGACCAGCCTTGCCAACATGGTGAAACCCCGTCTCTACTAAAAATAGAAAAATTATCCAGGCGTGGTGGTGCATGTCTGTAATCCCAGCTCCTCAGGAGTCTGAGGCACAAGAATCTCTTGAATCTGGGAGGTGGAGGTTGCAGTGAGCCAAGATGATGCTACTGCATTCCCTCCAGCCTGCATGACAGTGAGATTCTGTCTCAAAGAGAGAGAAAAAAAAAAAGTCTAGACTTGGAAACATACATATTGACAGTATATACTGATCAGAATGTTGCAGATTGAAATTATCAATGATGTGCCTCACCCCTGAAATTATCAATGATGTGTCTCACCCCCAACCTTCCTGCCCTTTTAATGTTATGGCTTTTAATCTCAGCCCTTTCAAACTGTAAATCAACATAATTTATAGTTGCTTTTTTGTGTCCAGTCTGTTAGAGGGAAAAAAGCCCACATAACCTTTGCTTGGTGCTACTACATTTTCCAGCCTTACTAGATCTTTAAATTATGATCAGTAGTCTATCAGTTTATTCTTTAGGCCACTTTCCAGCAACAATTCCAGCCTTCACTACCTTTCTCACCAGATAACCAGTATACCTCTATACAGAGAACTTGGTCATGAGCTGTGAATTCCCTCCATTCCTGGACCCCTTGCTACAGATGATTTACTTACTCCAACATCCATCCTTACCACCCGTCTCAGGAAGGAGGTGCCCTTCCTCCTGTACTCAGCATCTCCCTTTCACACCTACTTGGTCTCCTTGCTCCCACAATTAATAGCCTATCATTCTGTCCCTTCTTTTACTTCAAACAGCCTGCAGTCTGAATTCTTGCTTAGAAACAGTTCTCCGTGAGATCTCCAATAACACAGTTGTCAAATTAAACAGACACTTTGGTTCACTTAATCTCATGCCTACTTCTCAAAACTCATTTGGTTTCCCATGTTTACTTTCTGCCTAACCAACTTAATTTTTCTTTGTTCTTTCTGCCTATGGGCTTCTTTTCCTCATAGAATTGTTTTAAGGATTAAATGAGTTAATATATTAAGGATTTGTAACTAGTGTCTGGCACATAGAAAACACTCTTACTGGACGTTTACTATTATTATTTCACTAACATAATTGTTAGATAATCTCACCCATGCCTGTGGTTTTTACTACCAAATCTGTTGTTAAAGCCTAGACTTTGACGCTGTCATTTTTTTTTTTTTTTCCTTTGGAGTGCTTCATGGAATTGCGTGTCATCCTTGCACAGGGGCTGTGTTTAATCTCTGTATCGGTCTAGTATTAGGATATGTGCTGCTGAAGCAGGCACTACTCTGTCTTAGGTGGGTTTATCTAATTGCCACTGGCTATTTCTTCCTGAGTATCCAATTGAGCTCTCTTCCCTCCAAAATCTGTTTCTCTTAGCCCAGTAAATAATACCAGCAACCCCATTACTCATGCTAGAAGCAACCTGGGGGCCATCCTAGATACTTTACCTCCTCTAATCATTAACCAAATTTCTACTCATGGTACCTTCTAAATACCTTCTCTTCCATCCTCCCTGTCTTTCTTTGTCTCACCATTCTCCAGGCTACCAGTTGAAAGCTTTCTAAATGCAGCTTTCATCACTCACGAACCTTTGTGATTGCTTCCGATTCTTCAGTGGCATCTCTTGCTAAAAAGATGCCTAAGCATAGCAATTAAAGTCCTTTGATCTGGGCTCTGCCTATCTCCCCAAGCTTCATTCTCTTGCTACTCCTCTCTTAGACTTACCTGGGCTATAATATTTCATTTTTTCCCAAATATTCTAGGCATTCATACCTCATGAGCCATCCATTGATGGCTTCTTTCTGAACAACCCATTCCTCCTTCACCTACGTTGGAGTTCAGTTTTATTTACTGAGATATGAGGTGACAGACATCAAAATAAAAGTTTCTGAAATAGGCGTGGAAACCATTCAGGTTGGGGAGTGATCTGTGAGTGAGCTCAGAACTTAAAGACTAGAAAGAGTAAAGTATATAAAGATAGGTTGGGGGAAAAAAAAAGAATCAGCAACGGAAGTCAAGAACTATTCATAGAGAATAAACAGGACAGATAAGGTAACATTTCAAGATATGGTGGCAACATCAAGTGCAAAAAGAAAGGCAAAACAAATTAGGCCAAAGAAAAAGCCACTGAGATTCCACTGACAATGAGAGGGCAGTTCCAGTGAGGTGTGGTGGTGAAGCCAGAATGTAAGGGATGGGGCACTTGGTACATTGGCGTGTCTGACACAGCATACACTCAGGAGTGTACATTTCTGATCACATTAACAAGTCATGTCTAATTTCTAATAAGACTAAAGACAAAATTTTGGCCTTGGGGTTATTTATAAGGTCTCCTATGATCCTTTTGCTTTAAGTCTCCTATCCTACTTTTATGAGGGTACTACAGAGCACTTTATTTTTGGGAGGCAAGAGTAACCCTTTAGTTCCACAGCTATCAAAGCAACTTATCCTTTTATTGTAGCTTTTAACCATTCACAGTACTGCAAGTCTTCAGTGGTTGTGATTCATCTAGTCTTCAACCCCTTTGTTACAATCACCGTCCCCCATAATTAAAACATATTCTGTAGGAACTCAGTACACTGTGATGCCAGCCCTAATGGTAGAATAAGATACTGCTCACCCTTTACAAGGGCACTGATTTGCTTCCTATCTGCGTCACACCTCCAAACCTTTGAAACACTCACATGCAGCAGGGAGACTTATTTGAGCACCCACAACTGTCTTTCCGAACACTGCAACTCAGTAGTAATGCTTTGGGTTCAAGACTAAAAAACAGTACATCACAGCTTCCAAAGTGAAAATATAAGTAAAACAGAATTGCTTGGCCAGACGTGTGGCTCGTGCCTGTAATCCCAGCACTTTGGCAGGTCGAGGCAGGTGGATCACGAGGTTAGGAGATCGAGACCATCCTGGCTAACACGGTGAAAGCCCATTTCTACTAAAAATACAAAAAATGAGCAGGGTGTGGTGGCAGGCGCCTGTAATCCCAGCTACTTAGGAGGCTGAGGCAGGAGAATCACTTGAACCTGAGAGGCAGAGGTTGCAGTGAGCCGAGATCACATCACTGCACTCCAGCCTGGGCGTCAGAGCGAGACTCCATCTCAAAAAAAAAAACAAAAACCCCCATAATTGCTTAATGCAAAATACTGCATATCAAAGACAAAACAAAGCTGTGAATTATAAATAGGCTGTAAACTAGCAGCAGAGTTACTTTCTCCCACGATAATTGTTCACATCCATTGCACTGTAGAATCTTTATTTTTTGAGTCAGTCTCGCTCTGTCGCCCAGGCTGGAGTGCACTGGTGCCATCTTGGCCCACTGCAACCTCCGCCTCCTGGGTTCAAATGAGTCTCCGGCTTCAGCCTCCTGAGTAGCTGGGATTACAGGCATGCACAACCACGCCCGGCTCATTTTTTATATTTTCAGTAGAGAGGGGGTTTCACCATGTTGGCCAGGCTGGTCTCAAACTCTTGACCTTAGGTGATCCACCTGCCTTGGCTTCCCAAAGTGCCGGCATTATAGGCGTGAGCCATCACACCCGGCCTGCACTGTTGTATCTTAACTTTGAGAAACTTGTCTATTTCAAGTAAATGATACTGTCACTGCCCAAAAAGGAAAAATACGAATCTATATCATCTCCAAATTATTTCTGAGTTATAGGTCACTAATTCACTTGAATCCAGTGGTTACTTTGCCTCACATTAGAAATACCTGGGAAGCTTTTTGTAAGCCTGTGTCTTAGCTTCTGCTTGATACCAATTACATCAGTGTTTGGGAAAGGGAGCCAGGCATCTTCATTTTTAAAATATCTCTAGGTGATTTCATTGTGCAGCAACAT